TAGCTCTTTCAATTTTGATGATACAGCATCAATTTTAGATCTTTCCTCACTTCTCATGTGAGCATTTATTGCTATAAATTTTCCTCTAGACGCTGCTTTAAATGTGTCCCAGAGATTCTGGTACGTTGTGTCTTCGTTCTCATTGGTTTTGAAGAATATCTTTATCTCTGCCTTCATTTCGTTGTTTATCCAGTCGACATTCAGGAGCCAGTTGTTCCATTTTCATGAAGCTGTGCAGTTCTGTGTTAGTTTCTTAATTCTGAGTTCTAATTTGATTTCCCTGTGGTCTGAGAGACTGTTTGTTATGATTTCTGTACTTTTGCATTTCCGAAGGAGTGATTTACTTCCAATTATCTGGTCAATTTTAGAGTAAATGCCATGTGGTCCTGAGAAGAATGTATATTCTGTGGATTTGGGGTGGAGAGCTCTGTATATGTCTATTAGGTCTGCTTGGTCCAGATCTGAGTTTAAGTCCTGGATATCCTTGTTAATTTTCTGTCTTGTTGTTCTGTCTAATATTAACAGTGGAGTGTTAAAAGTCTCCCACTATTATTGTGTGGGAGTCTAAGTCTCTTTGTAGGTTGTTAAGAACTTGCTTTATGTACTTGGGTGCTCCTGTATTGGGTGCATATATATTTAAGATCGTTAGCTCTTCTTGATGCATTGATCCTTTTACTATTATGTAATGCCTTTTTTAGTCTCTTTTGATCATTGTTGGTTTAAAGTTCATTTTATCAGAGACTAGGATTGCACCTCCTGCTTTTTTTTTGCTCTCCATTTGCTTGGTAAATCTTCCCCCATCCCTTTATTTTGAGCCTATGTGTATCCCCGAATGTGAGATGGGTTTCCTGAATACAGCACACCTATGGGTTTTGACTTTTTATCCAATTTGCCAGTCTGTGTCTTTTGATTGAGGCATTTATTCCATTTACGTTTAAGGTTAATATTGTTATATGTGAATTTGATCCTGCCATTTTATGCTATCTGGATGTTTTGCCCATTAGTGTATGCGTTTTTTTCATTGTGTCGATGGTCTTTACCATTTGGTACATTTTTGGAGTGGCTGGTACTGGTTGTTACTTTCTATGTTTAGTGCTTCTTTCAAGAGCTCTTGTAAGGCTGGTGGTTATGAAATTTCCCAGCAATTGCTTGTCCATATAGGATTTTCTTTCTCTTTTGCTTATGAAGCTTAGTTTGGCTGGATATGAAATTCTAGGTTGAAAGTTCTTTTCTTTAAGGATGTTGAATATCGGCCCCCACTCTCCTCTGGCTCGTACGGTTTCTGCGGAGAGATCTGCTGTGAGTCTGATGAGCTTCCCTTTGTGGGTAACCCGACCTTTCTCTCTGGCTGCCCTTAACATTTTTTCCTTCATTTCAACCCTGGTGAATTTCATGATTATGTGCCTTGGGGTTGCTCTTCTTGACGAATATCTTTGTGGTGTTCTCTGTATTTCCTGGACTTGAATGGTGGCCTGACTTTCTAGGTTGGGGAAGTTCTCCTGGATAATATCCTGAAGAGTGTTTTCCAGCTTAGATTCATTCTCTCCATCACATTCAGGTACATGTATCAAACATGGATTAGATCTTTTCACATAATCTCATATTTCTCACAGGCTTTGTTCATTCCTTTTCACTCTTTTTTCTATGTTCTTGCCTTCTTGTTTTATTTCATTGAGTTGACTTCAATCTCTGATATCCTTTCTTCTGCTTGGTAGATTCGACTATTGAAACTTGTGTATGCTTCGCGAAGTTCTTGTGCTGTGTTTTTCAGCTCCATCAAGTGGTTTATATTCTTCTCTAAGCTGTTTATTCTAGTTAACATCTCATCTAACCTTTTTTCTAGGTCCTTAGTTTCTTTGCATTGGGTTAGCACATGTTTTTTTAGCACTGAGAAGTTTGTTATTACTCACCTTCTGAAGCCTGTTTCTGTCAATTCATCAGATTCATTCTCCATCCATCTTTGGTCCCTAACTGGTGAGGAGTTGTGTTCCTTTGGAGGAAGAGAGGAGTTCCGATTTTTGGTGTTTTCATCCTTTTTGCGCTGGTTTCTTCCCATTTTAGTGGCTTTACCTACCTGTGGTCTTTGTAGTTGGTGACTTTAGGATGGAGTCTCTGAGTGGACTTCCTTTTTGTTGATGATGAAGTTATCTCTTTCTGTTTCTTAGTTTTCCTTCTAACAGTCAAGCACCTCTGCTGCAGGACTACTGTAGGTCTACACCAGACCCTGCTTGCCTGGGGATCACCTGTCAGGGCTGCAGAACAGTAAGGGTTGCTGCTGGTTTCTTCTTCTGTTGTCTTCGTCCCAGAAGAGTACCTGCCAGATGTTGTCCTGAGCTCTCCTTTATGAGGTGTCTCTTTGGTTACACGTGGGTTGGGGAGCTGCTTGAGGAGACAGTGTCCCTTATAGGAGCTCAAGTGCTGTGCCGGGAGCTCTGTTGTTCCATACAGAGATATTGGGCAGGTACTTTTAAGTCTGCTGCAGTGGAACTCATAACCGCCTCTTTTTCAGGTGCTTTGTCCTAGGAAGGTCCACTTTATTTATAAGTTCCTGTCATGCTGCTGCCTTTTTTCATAGATGCCCTTCCCTACATGGAGTACTCTTGTCACAGTCTGCCAGCAGAGGTGTTGCTGAGCTGCCGCAGGCTCTGCTCTGCTGCTGTGTGAACTGTCTTGGTAGTGGTGGACTGCCTTGGTAGTGGGTGATGCTCTTCCCCCCACTGAGCTGGACCGTCTTGGGTCCAGCTGCGCTTGCTGTGAAACTCTCAATCCAGAGCATTTCAGATTGTTTGTTTTGTGGGGGTGGTACCCGCTGAGCCAGATTGACTGTCTCCCTGTCTCTGCCCTGTCCCTTTCAGTTGAATGGGCGGCTCTATCACCCAGGTGTTCCAGGCACCAGTTGAAACTGCTGCCCAGATTTGTGTGAGTTTCTGTGCACCGAGCTGGCACTGGCAGAAACTATCGTGTTGAACACTTGTGGTGCTTTTTGGCCCAGGATTCTCCTGGTCTGTGGGCAGTGAAAAGTTGTTTGGACATGTGGTGGGCACTCACCCTCTGCATTGTTCTTGCTGGGAACTGCACTCTGAAGTGGTGTGCAATGATGATTAAACTATTTCTTAATGAAATTAAACAAAAAGTTTATCAAAATAGATGAAAGTAAAATAAACAAAAAGACGTTTCACAGTTTTATGTAATTTATTATTTATGTTATATAGCTTATAATTTTTGAAAAATACATAAAACCTGTACAATTTTCAATATTTTTTAATATTTGTAAACCCAAGGAATAAAAATTGTAGCCAGCCTGGTGCAGTGACTCACGCCTGTAATCCCAGCACTTTGGGAGTTCAAGGCAGGCAGATCACTTGAGGTCAGTTCAAGACCAGTCTGGCCAACATGGTGAAACCCCATCTCTACTAAAAATACAAAAATTAGCTGGGTATGGTGGCATGCAGCTGCAATCCCAGTTACTTGGGAGGCTGAGGAAGGGGAATCACTTGAATCCAGGAGGCGGAGGTGGCAGTGAGCTGAGATCAGGCCACTGCACTCCAGCCTGGGCAACAGAGCCAGACTCCATCACAAATAAACAACCAAAAAATTGTAGTCATTCCTGGATTCTGATCCACTACAGTGCTGATCTCACAGTCAGCATGCATGCAATGAAGTAAGTACACTGTATATAATATCATCTCTAGATGGAATTGTTTAAAAATACAAGTCAACTACCATGTGTTAAGCACCTGCTAAATGTAAAACACTCTGAAATATCTGTTGGTTTAACTGTGTGTATGTATGTGGGAAGAAGGTGGGGTACGAGGGTGCATAGATTACTCTTCAGATGTTTTGTGAGCACTCATCATGTACTTGACCCTCTAATGGGTACTGAGGTGGTCAGAGCTTAGATAATAATGGAGAGAAAGACAAGCAAGAAAATTAAGTGCATCATGCTAGATGAAGATAAGTGCTATGGAGAAAAATAAAGGAGACAGGTACATATGAGACCAGAGTGGGAGCTGCAATTCCAATCTATGTGGTTATGAATGATTTATCAGAAGTTGGTATACAACCAAAATCTAACAAGGTGAAAGAGCCAGCCATGAGGCTGTCTGTGGAAAGCCATTTCAGCCAGAGTAGCCAAGTGCCAAGGCCCTGAGGCCAGAGCCTGGCCCAGATTCGTGGAACTGCAGCGTGGTCTACACGGCTGGGGTAGGAAGGAAATAACTGGAATTATTTTAAAGGCAAAAGGGAAGAGTAGATCATGTGGATTCTACAGACCGTTATAAAGACCTCGGCTTTCATTTTGGATAATATGAAAAGTCATCAGGGGTTTTAAGTGGCAGAATGACATAATATGACTCATTTTAAACAAGAAAAATAAGACGGGAGATGGGAGTTTTTTCTGGTTTGTTTATTTATTTATATTTTAGACAGGTCTCACTCTGTCACCCAGACTGGGGTGCAGTTGCACAATCATGGCTCATTGCAGCCTCAAACTCTTGGGGTCAAGCTATCCTCATGCCTCAGCCTCCTGAGTAGCTGGGACTACAGGTGTGCACCACTGTTCCTGGCCAAAATTTTTATGTTTTGTAGGGAAGAGATCCCATTATATTGCCCAGGCTGGTCTCAAACTGGCTTGGATCACCACCCAAAGTAGTGGAATTAAAAGCATGAGCCACCGCACCCAGCCTTGATTCACTTACAAATTTTAGATAGACCTAGAAGAAGAAAGTGTAAAAGCAGGAGGTGACCCTTTATCTTGATATTAATAACTCAGTTAAGAGTGGATATTGGATTGGACCAAGGTGGCAGGGATTAGTTAAGATATCGTTGGGTTTTATAATAGATGAAGGTCTGTCTTACAAGATTTGCAAATGAAATAGATGTGGGTGTGAAAGAGAGAAATTAAGAATAACTCTAGAATAACTCTTTTTTTGGCATCTATATATTTTATTTTACTTTATTAAATCTTACTAATATTCCTTAAGGGACAAACCGTCAGACAAGTAGGCTATAGTGAAGAAATCTTATTTTGGAGAGTTAAGAAACCACTATGATACTTCCAGGTATTATCTTCAGTGATGCTTCTTATCTTTATTCAGGGACTCCAGGTAATATTCAGCTCCTACAACTACCGCAAATGCAGCAAATCCCCATTTGAATCCTTTAAAGAATACATCAAAAAAGGTAATCTTTTTTGCAAAGCCACACATGTATCTCCAAGTTTCACTGCGGCCCCATGGATCCCTTAGCCCTTGTGCAGGCAGCCTGTTCTGGACAGTTTCTAATGGTGTCCCTTCTATCTTCCATTGCCTGTACTCTGGAAGTTCCATTTTACCATGTCCATGTTCATGTCCATGTCCATGGGCCATGTCTGTGTCTGAAGTGAATCTAAAAGCCTGATGAAGATCTACCACCACTTAACTCTAGGCTTTAGGGCCTGATAAACTGGAAGTATGGGGTTGCTGTCTACAGCAGTGAGGAAGGAAATAAATGCATCAAGGAGAAAAGTTAGGATTTTGGTTTTGAAGATTTTGTGTTGGTGAATAGACTTCCAAGTGGAATGCTGGGTAAGCAGTTGAGTATTGGAAACTGGAGTGGAGAAGAACAGTCTGAACTAGAGTCAAATGAAAATATAATACTTGGTAATTGTATATTTAAGGAATATTTACTATCAAAGACAAGATGATATCACCAAAGGAAAGAGAGTGCTTAGGGCAGAGAAACAGCCTTAGGTTTGAGGCTTTCCAATGTTAAGAGTTTGGGTAGAAAGATAAAGTAGCAAAAAATACTAAGAGGGAGACCAGAGTGGGGAAAGCAAAACCAGGAGAGTGTGGCATCCTGGAAGAAAGGAGTTTCCAGGCAGTGGATTCCACGTCAACTATGTCAAATGCTTTTGATAGGTGGTCTAATATTCATATAAAGTATTGTCCTTTGAATTTAACAATGGAGAGCTCACTGGTAATATTTTCATTAGTAAATTGCATGTGCAACCATGCATCCAATTCGTCAGTTTTAACTCTGCACGGGTCTCAAAAACATTGCCTTCTTTTCTTCTCCACTACTACACTCTGTTGTAAATCATAATAATTTCTCACCCATAGAATTCTACTTCTACTTCTACTCCCACCCACTTCCAATTCACTCTCCATTTAGCAACGTGATTCTCATAACAATGTAAGTTAAATGATTTTATTCATCTTTAAAAATCCTCTGAAGGCTTCCTATTGCACTTAGAATAAAATGCAGTTTCCTGGCCCTCACCAGAAATCCTTGGCTCATCTTACGCTCTGACCACACTGGCCTGCTTTTTGCCACTCAAACTTGCCAGGATTCTCTCTGTCATTGAGCCTTTGCATGCCCATTCCCTTTACCTGGACTGATCTTCCTTCTAGCCTTAGCGTGGCTGGATCCATCTTGACATTCAGCTGTCAACTTAAATGTCACCTCCTCAGAGATGCCTTCACATTCACCCAACTTCAACTAACCATCCATTTGTGGTCTAGACCTCACTTTTAAATTTCTGGCATAGCACTGATGATTCTGGGTGGCTTTTTATTAATGGATTTGATTGTGTGAGTGTGTGTGGTTTATTGATCTATTTTTGCTTGATAGGGGTGTCTGTCTCTATTGGAAGCCCAGAGAAGTAGGTTAAGTAAAACGCCCACATTTACAGGTTAGACAGCTGTTACTTTCACTTAGTCTCTAAGTTTTGATTTTTCGATCCAGCAGAAAATTTCCTCTCAAAATTGCTTCCTAGCGTAAGAGTATAATTAGTCTGAAAACTATTTGTCTTAATGAAAAACTGACACCAGTTAAGATAAAAAAAACTTGAGAGACATCTTCAACAAATTTATGTCTCTTTTGGTTAAAAAAAATCTCTCCTGACATATACTCAATATTGGCACAGTCACTATTTCTTCCATTAATTTATTTATTGGATTTATGAAGAGCTTTCTCCTCCACTAACTCAATTTAATTTTATTCAGCTTTGTGGCTGTCATAGTTCATATTTGTCTATGTGAAAGTATCAAATCTGGTCAGGTTTGATTGGGTAAGAGCATAATTCCCTGTTTTCCCTACTCATACAAATATTAATAACTGGAAGATAATGAAGAATTAATGTATTTCCAAACAATTCTGAACTCATATTCAAAGACATTTACATTCTAATTGATTAATGGTTCCAAACAGCAATGTCCCAAAGTGGATTTGGATTATAAACTTAAAGTATTTAGGCTGCTGATTTGCATTTTCTTCTTTTTCCTTTCTATTAAATCTGTTTATAATAGCAAGTGTCATTGCTACACATACCTGTGCACAAAAATCTACAAGGCAAAAATACAAGATTTGCTAATTGGTAACTTACTTCTTTTCTGTAGTTAAAAGTTATATTTTATATTTACTGATGGGAAGTGATGATATTTGATTTTGTGCTCTAAACAGATGAAGCAGAGGCAGCCAGGCAGCCCATTCTCAGCTCAGGTGCAAGTGAGCAGGGCTGAAACACCAGAAGTTCCCATTTACAGGTGAGAGGATGAGAAGAGATGAGAGAGCCAATGAAAAGGCAGAGGTCTGAGTAAGAATGAGGAGAGAGAGTGTACGGCAACTTTACAACAGGAAGCAAATGGCTGGAGCCATGGGCTCTGACAGTAGGTGCCAGTCGATGAGGGAGCCAACCCGCTCAGATATCATGGGTTAACATCACAAGGCCACTCTGCAGCAGAGGCCAGAGAGGATCCTGATATTCATGGGTTTCTAGTTCCCAGGGATGGTGGCTTCTCAGAAAACATGTCAGAATTTATGAAAGGATGGGTGTCTGATTAATGGAGAGATAGTGGTGATGCTTGGGAGCACTCCATTTCTGGGAGCAGGTGACATGGTCTTGAATGAGAAATGGTCCCTGCTGTCACGTATATCTCAAGTCAGCTGAACTTAGATCAATGCAATTACAGAAATATGGATAACCTACAAAGCCCACTGTACTCTAGCCCTGCCCACTCCCTGTTTACCCCCAACTTTTCGAGCTCATCTGCTACTTAAAGGTATAAGATGAAAGTTTATACTGCTTACAATAGATCACGGATTTATATAAAATAATTTCACATTGCTTATAATCAGGTGGTGCTTTATGTTACATACTGTTAAAGCATCAATTCTGGGGTTCTTACTCAAGAGTAATGGAATGTTTTCATAAAGAATATTTTAGTGTAGAACAGTAAAATTAACTAAATAACCATAACAGTTTGTTAATCAGTTTTTTAATTGTCTTAGTTTTTTTATTGTCTTAGTATTTTAATCGTTTTTTTATTCTTGTCTTAGTATTTTGCTACTTTAAAAATGTCCAGAGGGGAAAAAAAGGGAAAGTTATTTGCTATTAGGATATTAGGGTATTTAAATAGTAAGATCTGAGAGTTGCTAACCAGGGTGACAATATAACTTATCAAACAAACCAATTCCTTTTAAAAAGGGGGTGCTGCTAAAATCTCAATAAAAGAATTTTAAACTAGCCTCTCTTTTATAAAATGGAGTATATTCTTCTTACCCTTTTGTCTTTTGGTTTTCAGGTTATTTTTACAGAAATAATCAGTCCACAAATAGAAGATTTTTTTTCTTTCTTTTTTTTTTTTTGTAGAGAAGTGATTGATGGGCTTTAAAGTTTCAACCCAGTGATTGTATTCACAGACTGTCCAACCTAATGTCTAGATTTAATATGTCAGTTGAAATTTTTGTGGGAAGAAATTTGACATTACTATGAGCAATACAATTTTATAATTAATTATGGATTTTAAATATCCACATTCTACAAGTCCTCCTTTTGCTAAATAAAATTACGTTGGCTGTTGAAAGAAGGAAGGCAGGCAGGAAGGGAATATGGAAAGTAGTGAAAAACAAAGCATACAATAAAAATATTCAGGTACCTTTTAATGGTTTAAGCAGAAAGCATATAACATTTGGCTAAATTCAGAGGCTGTGTTTCCTCATGGTGAGACAGAAATCACTGTGTTTGCAGCGGGGATATCCCTAGTCTCTCAGTGAAGCGTAAAATGGTGTCTTGCTTTGCAGATGGTGGAAGCTTCCAGATATTTAACTCTAAGCCACTAGAGGGCAATAGAGTATTGGGAAGAAAACAGTCTTTAACAAAGAACATTCTCTTACTCATGTGCACCCCCCACTGCCCCCATTAGCCACTCACTGTTAAAAGAGAAGGACAGAAGGCATAGAGACAATCAAGATTGAAGAAAACACATTACAGCATGAATGGACATTTCATTTCAGTATTAAGGTGAGGGAAAAAAGGAAGGATTGTTTCAGCATGCCCCAAAATTGCATTGAAATGGGAATTCTTGAATTTTATAGAATGAATTATAGGGACTGAAACAAATTATTCAAATCAATAATTTTAAGAAGTTTTTTTTTTTTTTTCCTAATTTTTGGAAATGCTCAACTGTGCAAAATGAATTTCTGAAAATCTACAAAAAAATTGAGAAAATATAAATAAATAGTTAAGTAGTTTGCAATCACTGATTTCCAATCACATAGTTCCAATCTTTTGAATTGGTTCCTCTTGCACTTTTCACTGTAATAAGAGTCTAGGTATGGGATTCAGATAATGAAAGGATTTTTTTTTCCTTTTTTCCCTGATGAATAGTTCAAAGATTTAATTATTTAACTTTTGGTTGAACAAGTCATTAGCAACTGAGTTTCTACTGTTTTAAGTGATTTTGTTTTAATTCACCACTTAAAACAAGATGAAGTCATATATGTTAATAAAAATGCTTTCCTTTTTTCTTCCTAAGGAACCAGTCATTTTGTAACTGATATGTTATACTGTATCACTGTTAAAATTCAGAAATTTATCGGTTTCTAAATGTATATTTAGCATCAAGACTTGCATTTTTTAGTACAGCATATGTACATAAAGATGACTTATTTTGGGGGCTTACAAAGGAATCTGGTGAAAAGACTTGTATTGTTAGAAATAAATAGCAGCTCCTATCATTAGTATTTAAACCATTTCTATGTTTGCAGTTTTAATTCAGTCATTACTTAAAAATCAAGATACTGTGGGGCATTATTGAAAAAATGGGTTAGAAAATTTTTCCAGAATGTTTCAAATTTAAGAAGAAGCAAGAATAAAAAGGGATCTGACTCTGTGTGTTCCTTGCTTTAAGTCATAGCTGTATTCTTCAAAAGATGTCTGTCAATTGATTTTTTTATGAATGAAGTCATATTTTTTACTGACTTTAATGAAAATTTTAGAGATGCTTTATCTTTATTGTGTGTCAGTGACTCCAAACATTTAGCTTCAAGGATTTTCTGTCTGGCAAGTAAACAATCTAAAAACAGTCCATACACCAAAACAGTTACT